GCCAAACCGGTTAGGGCTATTTGTTCAGTTTAAGGAGTCAGCTGGGCACCTCGACGTGCAGCTGCACTGGGCTGTCACGACACTGCCAGCTTGGGGTGCGCTTTGTGTTTGTGTTTCCGTCCTGGCTCCTCCACTTCGCCTTTAATCTTGGCGCGATTATTCGTAACCCAAAGACTGCCCGGCCGCGGCCAGAGGGCTGGCCTGGCTCCCAACCATGCTCAGCCTGGGATTCGCCGTGGCCGGGCGCTGGCCCTTCAGAAATGAATGGCACGACCTTCTGTTTCCCTCCCGTTATCACAGCTGGTCGCTGTGGGCTGGATTCCGTCACCAGCTGGAGGGTCTGTGGGGCACGGCGTTGTGTTCTCCTGTAGCCGGGAGACCCCCCTTCTGACCCACAGATTAGGAGGTTAATGGAGACTTTGGTGTTTACATTCTGATATCCGTGCAGAATGCCTTCTAAACCTTTATCTCTCTGAGCTGGGCGGCGCTTAATCACTTTTCCAAAGGTAAAGCCTGGTGTGTCCTGGATGAATTACAGGCAAGATAAGCCCACGACGCAGGAAACAAGGATGATTTATGCGGCCGGGACTGCGGAGTCAACCCGGGCAGGCGCGGCCGGAATTCAGCCTGGTCACAACGGATGGCTGGCTTTCATGTCAGGATTTATCATTCGTTTCACACCGATTTCAGTTTCAACTTTGTGTGTGCCACTTACGAAACCAGAAGAATGGGGTTTTAGAAATAAATTGTTTAGATGCAAATGGATCTTTTTCCAAAAATTAAACGATTAGTAGAAAGCACCAGTGCCGACACGCACTGCTGCGCTCCGGGGGAGCGCTCTGGGGTCGCGCTTCTTGCTTTGCCTGCTCTGGCCCGAGCGGCCCTGGAGGCTGCAGCGCAGGCCTGAGCGTGAGGAGCGCAGGCCCTGGAGCCGGCCCAGCCCCATCTCGAGTCCAGGCACCGGGTCCTGGCTTAGCAGGTGCTGCCTGGGTGTTGGTGAGCTAATCTACGAAACAGGGCAGGACAGAGCGGGAGGGTCTTCCTGAGCCCAGGCGTCCCATTGCCTGTAAACACCGAGCATGGTGCCCACACCAGGAGGTGCCCATGCCATAGGGTGATGATGGTGATGGTGCTGGTGCTGGTGGTGGTGCTGGTGGTGATGGGAATGGTGATGATGAAGATGGTGGTGGTAATGGCTATGGCATAGTGATGGTGATGATAATGGTGGTGGTGATGGTGGTGGTAATGGTGGTGATAATGGTGATCATGGTGGTGGTGATGGTGGTGGTGGTGATGGTGATGATGGTGATGATGGAGGTGGTGATGGTGATGGTGATGATGGTGGTGATGGTGATGGTGATGATGGTGGTGATGGTGATGGTGATGATGGTGGTGATGGTGATGGTGATGATGGTGGTGATAATGATGGTGATGATGGTGGTGATGGTGATGGTGATGATGGTGGTGATGGTGATGATAATGGTGGTGATCATGGTGATGATGGTGGTGATGGTGGTGATGATGGAAGTGGTGATGGTGGTGATGGCGGTGATGGGAATGGTGATGATGGAGGCGATGTTGGAGGTAGTGGTGGGAATGGCTATGGCATAATGATGGTGATGATTATGGTGATGATGATGGTGATGGTGATGATACAAATGGCTTCTGTATAAGGCTGTGAATTAGGTCTCCATCTCTCCCCAGGAAGCACCGCCTCCTGCTGGATCCAGAGCCCCGGCTGGTGCAGCAACCTCCCTGCTCTGACTGAGATTTATGTTCAAAGCTCAGCTCCCAGAATTCCCAGAAAACCTTTCCTCTCTCAACAGAGCCCTGATCTTGAAAATCAAAGTGCTTCGGCCTCAGACTCTTGCACAGAACACATGTCTGCTCGTCGGAAAACGACTTTCCTTCCCTGGGCACAGCCTTCGCCCGACACACGAGGAGTAGTGATGGGGGGAGGCGTCCGTTATGAAGACGGTCCCTCCGGCTCGGCAGAGCAACCATTCTCAGTGCTCCCCCTTCCTACGTCCTGCGTCGCCTCCCTTAACCCCGAGCTCTCCAGCCTCCTTGTTGCCCCGACACCGGCCTTTCCTACAGGTAAATGCCCCTGCTCCTGTCCAGTCCTCCCACCGTCTCCCCACGTGGGGGGCCTGACAGCCGACCGGTTAGACCCGGGTGCTGACCTGCTCTGCCGGGTGACTGACCGGCCAGCGTGCTCTGGCCGAATGGCTGGAGCAGGAGCCCCCAGGGCGGTGCATTAGCCCCTAGTGGGGGGGAGGGTCAAGGGTGCGGGGCAGGCAGTGGGCATGGGGAGGCCCCTCCCTGTGGCTCAGGGCAGAGTCCTTTGCCTACAGAGCTGGTAGGGCTGCATGGACGCCTCTGCCAGACCCAGTCCCCTGGGCCCAGGGCGGCCAGGGCAGGGCGTCCTCAGCTGCGGCCACGGTCATGGGCGCGGAGCAGGAATGTGCGCCCGTGCCAAGCCATCCAGCTGGAGAGGTTGTGTAAACAGCACCCGAAACCCGAGCCACATGGAGCCAGGAAGGAGGGGGATCAGAAGGAGAGGCCGCGGCCGGGCCCTCTTGACCTTGTCCCCAAGCACGGCCGTCACGTGAGCCTGCGGGCACTGAGGCCACAGCTTCCGTCCCTGCCCTCGTCCGGCCTCTGCACTGAGTGACGGGCCCGCAG